TGTTCTCTGGGCATCAATAACCTTGACTAGCAAGTTAACTATTTGGCACTCTTACATAAATTGTGCTTGTTCATCACAAAAAATGTTATCGAAGTGTATGTCAGCCTGTGAACATGAGTTTAGATAAACATTGTGAGACAAAGAAATGAGGAAAGATAAACAAAAAGCATCTCCATCTCCTCAGCTAAGTGCCACACAGGAATGAAAAATAAACTAAAGCAGGCTGAAATCTCAAATAATTAAAAAATACTGAATCAGATCCTGCTCTGAAAGCACTTTCTGATGTCCAAGCTGTGACCTGATGTCTTCAACAGCACTCTTTAATCATATATGAGAGTGGAAGCATGGCAAGCAATAATATCTAAATTTAAATTACAAATAATCCCAGAAATGTTCAGAATAAGTAGCAGTCTGCAAACACAAAAAGATAGTATTTAACATTATGGTAGCAATCACCCATTGCTGCTGCTGCTGCTCTTAGGAGCTGCTTGCCAGGAAGCCGTGTGGCAGCAGCCTGCTCCTGTCAGCTGTGGGCACAAAGATCTCTGAGCACCGTCTGTTGAGAAGCTGAAAAGGATTTCCCTGCTGAGTTTTCAAACAGTGAGAAAAGTGTCTGAAATCAGTCACTACACAGCTCCAATACAGCACAAACCTCCTGAGCTTGCTGCTGGAGGAGTCTCCTGGGCTGATGGTAACAGTGGTGCTGCTGCCTCCACTGCTTCCTCCTCCTCCTCAGAAGTGCTGCTGTCAGAGTCACTCACTTCTACTGTCTCAATTGGGTGCTGTGCCTGGGTGTCCCTTGCAATATGGGGGAGCTCCGGGTGTGGAACTGGTCCTGCAGATGGCTCTTGGGTCCTACTGAGTTGAAAGTAATGGTCCAATGCTGCCCTGCGTCCAGAAATGAAAGAAACAAAAGCCACAGTCATTTCAGGTAAGCTAAAGACTCATCATGTTTCCCCATGAATGTTTGCAGGAAAATTTTTAGGCTTTGACTGCAGCAGGAAGGTGTCACTGCTATCCAGTCAGGCCTTCTCCAGCAGGGGGGCAATCACATAGGATAGACCATGTTGTGAACAATCAGCAGGATCAGCAACAATCCATTTTGCTTATTGCAAAGAAAATCTTCTCACTACAACAATGACATTGCCTTCTTTTGGGGAAGAAGGGGATGGTAGGGTTGGAGAGGAGAAAAACAAAGTAGTATCACTCTCTAATAAGCCTAAGGAAACTCCCAATCTGTCTCTCCAACCCTAACTCAGCCTTGGTTCCTAGAGGAGCTGGTACTGTGAAATGCATGCCACTTGGGTCAGAGCCTCATTCCATTGACTACTTTGTGCTTAATGTTTGTACTTTCCCTCTTCTTTTCTACTGGAACTTTGACCCTAGATAGAAACATTCTCCCCTCTCCCGCCACCAGTTCAGCTATCATCTCAATTATACTTCAGATTCAAAGGAGTTTCTTGGGTTGCCTTCCAGCCCTCACAACTACAGTGACCTTCACAGGCAATCTGAGGGCAAACAATACAGTTGTGTTTAATCATCTGGGAGGAGAGGAGCTCTTGGTCTTGCTGAATTTAAAAGCAATGCTTCAGTTAATTATAATTTCACCCTTGGCACATACAAAAGCTAGAATGATGAGAGAAAAACAAATAAACTAAAAATTTTGATTTCTTTCTGGCTGGAGAGCATACCCACTCATCCCCCTTTAATCCCATTCAAATGGTATTAAATAAAGAGGATCTTCTGTTTTGCCTGAAAGTTAAGAAAAAAAAACAAACCAAAAAACAAATCAAAACAATAACAAAGCCCTACAGAAAAATATCAGTTTGTATGTTTGTGATAGTTTCTGCAGCAAACGTCATCAGGCAGACCCCAAACCAAAGGTGAAATGCAAACCAGAGCACAAGCTCCACTGAGCTAAATGCTGGCTGGAACTGCTGAGAATCAGTACTGCAGCAGGAATCATGGACAGGAATCTGGCTGTGCGGAGGGAATAGCAGCAGCCAAAACTCTGCAAGCAAAATGCAAAATGTAGAAGGGCTCAGAAGCCAACATCACCCCTGCAAACATATGAAACAAGGGGTTCACCTAACAAGGGCAAAGAATCTGCCAGAAGAGACCAGAAGTCACTGTGCTATTACTGAACTTAAAAGGTGAGGTACCCTGGATTTGGCCCTAGCCACACACCTGAGCTGGGCTCTGTAAGCCAGGATGTTTTGAACTGATGCTGGACTTGATCAGAGGGCAGTTCAGACCCAATTTCATTTCTGCTTTACCTGGCACCGATTGTCCTCTGGGAACCACCAATTCTCTGCTGCCTGCGAGCTCTCCTCACTGGCAGGCGCTGTGTGAGCTGTGGCACGGGCAGTGGTTGGTACTGATCCAATGCCCCTTGTAGCCTCTGCAGCCCACTGGGGGCTGTGGCAGGACCCGTCTGCAGGTCAGGCTCTGCAGCTGCTTCCCTTGCACCAGCGCTGGCTGTGACAGCAGCATCCTCAGCAGGAAGGGCTGCAGCGCTGCCTCCTCCTTCCCCAAGCACAGGAAGGTGGGACGAGAGCGCTGTGTGACCAGAGGGCTCCGGGACGAGTGTCTGGAGAGTCTCCACTGAGTAACCAGCCACCGGTTGGAGATCAACTTCCATCTCTTCTTGAGCCATTTCTGCAAGGAGCTGAAAAAAACTAGTATTTACTTTTAAGTGTACTCTACTTGTAGCCTGATGGTAGCAAGAACCAGGTACAGCACTCAGTGACTACAAATGTTTGTAGAATTCAGTCAAGAGAAAATTTGTCCTTTACAGCAGAGCTAAACCACAAGTCAATACACACATGTGAACTGGGAGCACCCTCCCAGAGTCCTGGGCTCCAAGTCTTTGGCTCGACAGCAGCTAGCACCAAAGGCACATTGCAAAATCAACTTAAATAAGCACTTGGATGAGTATCTAGAGTTAATGTTTTCTTGCTGCCATCATTTACTTGCCAAGTAAATTCACGTGGATCTTGAGGAACAGTTGGAAATATCTAAGAGACTCTCCTGGGTGAGCAGCACTGCACAAGCACCCACAGATTCAGCCAGGAACAAGCTCTGTGACACAGTCCTTTGCTGCACTAGTCTCGACTGACATTCAAGTTTTTTCAAACAAAATTGCCTCACCGTAACAGATCACTGTGACCCTTACCCACAGTGCACTGAACAGCCCTTCAGGTATTTACTAACGCCAGAAAAAAAACAGAAAGGGCATGACTGCAGAACATGTGACTGACACATTACTGGTACCAAGTTATCTGCAGCATCACCATTTGTGGATCCATATTTAGCCCAAGACTGGATAAACATGAAATTTGCAGTAAAACTGCAAATATATTAAGGATGGCTGCCCTTCTACATCTTTGGCAGATGGATTATCAGGTTACCTCCAGAACAGGAGTACTACCTTAGGGTTTGAAGAAAAATAGAGACAACAGTTTGTGCATTATTAATTTTCATGCTGCTGTCAGCCACCAAATTAAAAGCACTTTGGTCACACTGTTCTTACAACACAAAAAAGTTCAAGATTGTCTCAGTAACTGAATGAACAGATTCACCAAAAACTCAAAAATCCTTTATTGGAAGAGGTGTGTGGATTAAATTCTGCGAGCAGCTGGAAATCATTCACATTCTCCAAAAAGTACTTAGCAATAATAAACTTGAAAAGCCTTGGGAATTGCAAACCTTTAGCACTATTAAGAAGCCCAAAGTATAAACACCAATTTTACCAAGCTGGTAAAACTTACCCAGCTAGGGCTGCATAAAGAGAGCAAATGCTAATTGTGTATAAAAAGTAGCTAGAAAATGTACACAAAAATTAATAAAAGAGGTTGTACTAAGGTTCAAGTATTTTTACAGATATTTTAAGAAATTCTAACTTATCAATTTCATCATTCTTATCCTGATCACCAATTCAGCCTAAGCCAGACCAAAAATAGACATTACCATTTCCCACCAGAACAGCTGCATGGCCACCACGAAGCACTGCAGCTCTAGTACTACGTTCATGTTCATGATAGAATTGCCACCCAAAACTGTAATAAACCCTTTATTTTCACCACATAGAATCTCCGGCCAACACATTCCATTACCTACATTAACTGTGAGATTTATAAAAACGTTAATACTGCCATTTTCGCGATTATATATTGGAATCTGGCCCAAAGAATTATCAAGTCAGGCCTCCCTTCAGCCAGCCCCGGGAAGAGCCCGCAGATGGAGGGTCTGCACAAACCTTCCCGGGCCCCAGAGAGGAATTTCGGGCGCTCCCGGAGGGCCGGGCCGGGCCGGGCCGGCAGCCCCCGGGCTGAGGCAGCAGCTTCCCCTTGCGAGGGCACCGGGCCCCGCTCCGCAGGGCTCTGCCGCACCTGCCTCACCGTGAAATCATCAAACAAAACAGCCCCAGCACGGCCCGAGCGAAACACGCGCTCCGCAAGCGCGGATTCCCCGGGCACGGGAGAGGGATTTCGCCCATCCGGCAGCCGCAGGTAGCCCGAGCGCCCGAAGGAAATCCGCCGTGCTGGGGAGCTCGGCCGGGCCCTGGGGACGGAGCGGGGACGGAGCAGCGCCGGGACCCCGCCGGGACCCCTCCCGGCCCCGCCGCCACGCTCTCACCTCCGCCGGGCCCAACCGCCCGCTCGAGCGCCGCGCCCGCCCCGCCCCCGCAGCCCTATTGGCTGGCTGCCACACCCGCGCCGCCTGCCATTGGGCGAGGCGGAACCGTTTCCGCCTTCTCATTGGCTAATCGCTCTGTCCGTTGGTTTAACGCAACTGGGAGTAACGGGAAGAGAGGCGGGGAGGTAGAGCGTGCTCTGATTGGTCAAAGCGCCGCAGTGAAAGCCGGCTGATTGGGTAATGAGGCTTCTGACGGCATAGGGGGCGGGACAAGAGCAGGGGCGCGGGTTTTCATTGGCGGAGCGCCGCGCGGCGCAAAGAGCGGGAAGGCAAGTGCGTTCAAACCGGGGAGTGGGCGGGGCGCTGCCATGGCGGCGGCGGGGCCCTCAGGGAGGCCGGGAGCGCCGGGGGAGCTGGAAAGTCCGGGGGAACCAGGGAGAACCGCGAGGTGAGCCGAGCGGAACCGGGAAGGATCTGGGAGGAACCTGCGGGGAGCCCACGGGGAGCCGGAGGTGGCCCCAGGGCAGCCGGGGCAGGGCCGGGGCGGAGGAGAATCCCGGGGTGGCTCGGTTGGAAGGGAGCGCGGTGAGTCACATGCTCCCACCTCCCTGCTCCAGCAGGATTGTCCTAGAGCACGTTTCACAGGATTGCATCCAGATATCTCTGGAATATCGCCAGAGGATATCGTGTGAGGGAAACTCCACACCTTCTCTGGGCAATGTTCCAGTGTATGATCACCCACACAGAAAACGTTCTTTGTCATATTCAACTAGAACTTCCTATGTGTCATTTTCTTCCCTTGGCTCTTGTCCTATTGCTGGGCGCCACCCAGCAGAGCCTGGTCCATCCTCTGAAATCTCTCTTCAAATAGAGACAGGCGCTGATGGGATCCCCTCTCAGTCGTCTCTTCTCGAGGCTGAACAGGCTCAACTCCCTCAGTTTTCCCTCTAAAAGACGCTGTGTTCCATCCCTCTGGTCCCCCTAGGCTTCTTGGCAGTCTCTCTTCAAGTCACCTCTCTCCCCAGGCAGGGCCCCTCGGCGAGTGAAGGTGTCACAGACAGAAACAAGCACAGGAGCATTGAACCATCATCTGTGTGAGGGGAAGAGGGGCGAGGGACACCCCGGGGCTTGCTGCCCCTGGCCACCCAGCCCCGCTTTCCACAGTTAACTTCCTTGGTTTCTGCTTTTCTCCAGGTCAGCCAGCGAGTCCACAATCTCTGCAAAACACAAGGATGGCATTAACCAACACAGGGAATTCTGGTAGGCTTGTTTGGATTTTTTTAACAGATGAGAAGATGGCTTTCCCTCACTGATGACGTCTGGGACACGGAGTCACACTCTCCTTGGGCCAGCACAAACGGGCAGGGATTAGCAGGGGACAGGCCTGAGCAGACAGCTCAGCCCAAACAGAAGTAGCCGTGTTTATGGAAACACCCTTGTGAACAGCTGCAATAAACCATCCTTCCAGCTCAGCACCACACGGTGGTAGGTGTTGGATTATGATCACATTAGGGTAATAAAGCCATTCTGTTTCCTCAATGTGATTTTGTCAACATCTCTAATGATATTTTGGTGTTTAATTTCAGCCAGGGCTAGTCCCTGTGCCAGAGCGGTGCTGGTGGGAAATGTGGCATTCAGTGGTTTCTTGGGCACATTTCCCACATCTCTTGTATGGTCCTGTAGGATGGAGTGGATGAAATTGAAGGAAGTTTTCTCCCCTTAGACAGATGAACCGAGGGAAGTATGTGACCTCTGTTACTTCAAACACACCAGAAATGTTCCTCTATAATTTCCTGATGTTGCTGCTGTATCTCCTGATGGAGACCAGTTACTTGTCTGATCAGACACAAACCAGCTTCAGAGGCAGTGAAAACTTCCCTGTCATAGAGCAATGCCCAAGACTGGAATTTACTGCTTAAAGCTCAAGGCAGGAGATGTTCCTGCAGAGTGTTGTCACTGCTCCTCCGACTTATGGGATCTGCAGGACCTGAATAGGGATAACTCACAGACCCCTACTTCCTACCCCTACTTGTCTGATAGAAAAAGCTACTTTTATGTGACACCAAGTGCACAAACAGCCTGGGGGTTATTGTCATGGCATGGGTAAATAAATGTTAATGTGTGAGGTCTAGAACTGGGGGACTTGTTAGCATAAAAAAAAGGTCAAGGCAGGATCCCAAAACACAAAGCCAGGCAAAGTCATAGGGGAAAGAAGGGGCAAGCTGCCTGCTGAAGTAGCTGATGGAAGGATGCAAAGGGCCTGTGGAGAAGGTGTCTGGGACACTTACCCTCGGCAGAAGGGCGTTGGGAAGGGTCAAAGGCCTGGCACTGTTCAATGATTTTCCTCAGGACTTCAGGACAATCTTCCCCAAGAGGGTCCCAGTAATGGTGGCTGCAGATTTTCTCCACGATCTCCTCAGGAGTGCAGCCTAGACAAAAAGTGCAAACAGGAGTGTCAGGACGGAGCTCTGCTGCCACAGGAGGGTGCTGGGGAGGAACCCAGTGCAAAGCCATGCCAAGAGCCTGCCTGCAGCCTTTGGCAGGGAGAAGCCAGCAGGGAAGTGACCCAAACTCTGTCTGCAATGAACCCCGCTGTATTTGGCATGACACTGCTGGGCTTCAGTAGAGCAAGATGTGTTCACGCTTAAATGCCCAGAAACATCCAATAGAAACAAAAATTATTTGCATGTTTGTGGTTTAAGCTATACTTTGCTATATTGTAGTTTCAGAAGTTATGAAGCTGTCAGGCACACCAGGCACTGCCACTGGCACCTGCATGGGGTGCTCAGGGAAGGAGCAGGGAGCATCCAGTGCCAGACAGGAACCACGCTGTGCCATGTGGCTTTTATGCAGGGAGCCAGATACTTCTGTCTCACCTTCAAATGGGATTTTGGAGGTTGCGATCTCTGCCAGAACAATCCCAAAGCTGGAAGGAGACAAGCAAGATTGTTAGTATTCATTCCACCATGTATTCCTCCCTTTTACTGGAGAAGACTGTTGGGCTGTGCCAACTGGAAGCATCTGCTTGTGTGTCCAACTAAACCTGGCCTCCTTCCATAGCTCAGCAGCTACTCTGCCAGACACCTGCCTGCTCACAGGCATCTCCTGGGAGGGCAGACACACCTGTATATTTCACAGGGCCTCTTGTAAGTGTAGTTGATGTCTTTCAGGTTCTCTGGAGCGATGTAGGCCAACATAGAGACTTGTTTACCATCCTTCTTGGCTTTCCTCTTGATGGATGATTCTGTTTCACACAGCTCAAATCCTGACAGCTGATTGAGAGAATGAGAGAGAGAAAAGGAGGAGTGGAAACCTGTGGTGCAGCTAGGATCTGCCCCAAGATGGAGAAAACAGAGCCAGATGCCCTGGGCAGTAAAGGCTGGTGTGCAGCTGTGCGTGCTGCCCAGCACAAATCTCTTCCTTCAAGCAAAACCAGAGGTGAAGGCAGGTGAATCACCCCAGCTTCAGCTCATTCCAGGCTGGATGCTTTAGGAACACTCACTTTGCTGATGATAAGACCAAGATAGGGAGGTTTAAGTGCCTAAAGTCATAGGGGAGATGCCATTATCCCATTTTATCCTGGACCATCACAATTGCCTTCAGTGTTGATGGAGGGAGACATCCACAAAACCATTTAAAACTCCCAGAAGCATCTCAGCATCTCCAAGTGTGGTGCTTACCTTCACACAGTAATCCCCAGCCACCAGGAACTTGCTGCTGCAGATGCAACCGTGGAGTCGGGATTTCTCCCCTGTCTGGTGCAACCTGCAGATGGATGGAACCAAGGGCAACACGTGATGATGATGATGATGATGGACTGACCCATCCCCACCTCGGTGCTCCCTCCTGCCATGGAGGCAGTGACTGACATGCAACCAGAGAAGCCAGCAGCTCTCTGCCTGTCTTGGTGCATCAACCCTGCCAAGCCAACCTTTCCAGCAGGCGCTGGAAGAGCTGCTGTGGGCAAAGCAACAAGCCTTGTGGATGAGCAGGACCTGTAAGGAGAACTGCCGTGCTCCGGGCTACTTCCAAATCTGGGGAAGGGGATTTCTCCCTTTCAGGCCTTGGCAGGCTTGAAGCCAGATGTAGGGGACAGTGACCAAGGTAGATGGGAGCTACTGCATCCAAATCCACTACCTACCCCTACACCAGCCTCCCATCCCAGTGTCCCAAGGTGGTGTCACTGGGAATCAGTGTCTGACAGGATACCACGGCTTACTCTGAGATACCAGGAAGCTGCACTCAGCATTTGGATCACCAGGTGAAGTTACTCACTGCTTTATACAGGTGCTCACCTGTAAAGGCCTCTGGCAGCTCCCAGGGCCATCCGAATGCGGATATCCCAGGAAAGGTGCTGCTGCTTGTTCAGCACATCCCGCAGTGTCCCATGCTTACAGTACTCCATGACGATGGAGAAGCAGGGGCTCCCATCTGCAAAGCAAAATCATCCTGCCTTGTGCCACCTCTTGGGAGGGGACCACAGCAAGGCACATGCCACCAGCTAGCACTGGGGATGGCAGGGGAGGAAAAGGGTGACATTAATGTGACACCCCTACCGTTGTCCTCAATGCAGATCCCGTACATGCGAAGGATGTTTGGAGACTCAAACTTCTTCAGGGTCTGAATCTCCTTCTCAAAGATGTCTCTCACCTTGCTGTGGAAATGGACAGCATGGTGAGATCACTGGAACAAGGCATGGCATAGTGCTGTGCCACCCTCCTGGGGCCACACTTGCTCCCACCCAGGACAACTCACACTGGGTCAGTGGTCAGTGGCCTCTTGAAGGTTTTGATGGCAACAGGGTACTTGAGGTACTCGCCCTCATAAAGGTCGTAGCTCTCTGTGTCCTGCATTTGCCTGTGGAAAGTGAGTTGGTCTCGCTTGATCTCAGTGATGTCTACTCTTTTACCAACGTTGACCTTCTTCAAGCCTGCTCCCGCCACGTGCCAGAAGGGAACAAGGGACACGTTAGGCAGGGCTTGGGGGGAAAAGATACAGTGCACAGGGTGCAGGTGGTGTGACACTGACTTACGCTCCATCTCATGAATGACTTTGTTCAGCTCACTTTTCATCCAGTCCATCTTGCTCTCCATACAGTCCCTGTCGATGTAGATCTCCTCAAGCACATCTTTGGGCTCCTCAGTACCTAGGGAGAGAAACAAGCAGAGGTTGGGCCACTGGATGAACAAGCATGACTATGTGATTTATTTTTTTCGTGGTTTAAATGTCCCTTTGGCTCTTCATGGCCATGGCCATCAAGCCAGAGCTAGGTAACAGCTGGAGAGAGGGGCCAACCACCAGTGGCAGGGAAGGAGGGTTTGCTAAATGCACTCACTTGCAAGCACCTGGTCCAAGAAAGCTCTGTCATCCCTCAGGTCCTCAGCATCCTGCCTGCGACATGTCTTTGACTGGAAAGCTTCCAGGAAAGCTTGCTTCTGCTCTGCCTGCAGCAGGAGTGAGAGCCCCTGGGCAATGTCCTCCAGGCTTTCATTCACCCAGACAAACTCCTCACCAGTACTTCGGGCTCGCAGGAACTTCTGGATCCAGCTGGTCTGGCTGTATTTCATCACCAGTTTCTGGGCTTCCTCCAGTGCCCGGAGCAGCTTTTTCATCAGTTCCTCTTCATGGTGGGAGATGTGCTGTCGTGGCTGAGCCCTAAGGACCCTCACAGGCTCCAGCAGAATCTGGATGCGCTCCACGAGGCGCTGGCACTGGTGCTTACAGCACTTCACCTGCTCGAATTGGGCATGGATGGCCTGGGCCACAGAGAGGACCCTCTCCACGATGTCCATGCTTGCAGCAAAGGGCTTGGCTGCTGGGGATGTGGGCTGGCAGTGTCTGCTGCAGGTAAGCCTCAGGTGCTGCTCAGATATCAGCCGGATGCAGCTCTTCCACACCTTCCACCCTAGGGAACACCCTGATATGGCACATGTCCTCCCACAGCCCCTCACACCTCCAGCTGCTTGTGCAGACTGGAGCAGGCACACGCAGAGACATCGGTAGCAGCGTTAGTAGCACATCTTTCTCTGCATTAGCAAGAGATGTTTTGGCTTGATTTATGTACATTAATTTAGTGTGAGCCATCCCAGAGAGCTTCTACCAGAGGAGCCGGGACATCAGTGACCCAAGGAGCATCCCCCCGGCAGCATTCCTGGCTCCAGCCCCACATCACCCTTGGTTCCCACCAACAGAACCCATATCTTTGGCTGTAAAGACCTATTTTCATTTCTACCCAATGTCTCTCTCTGTAGTCACAACATCTTCACAGCCCCAGCATCCCCAGCTGCTCCCCATAGCTCTATTCTGCCCACTGAAGATTTTGATTTTAAATCAAGCTCTTTCTATGCGCTCAGCATCCCCACAAGGATGGTGCCTACTCCCCATCCCATGCAGGCAGCAAGGACAGAAAACCACAGCTGTTTCAGGGAAATGAGCAGCAGCCCCTCTGACGCAGCCAACGCTAAGAGAGGGGTGCCAGGTTCTACTGGCTGGAAACGAGATGGAAACGCACCAGAATCCAGCTGCAGCCACTCTCCTGTCCTCTTCAGGCTCTCTCCAGCACGGCCCCCAAGGAAGGATCTCGTCTGCTTGCCAGGAGAAAGCCTCTGTTAGCTGCTCCTGCTTCGCTGACCTCGGCTGCCTCCGCAGACTGGAGGGGCACGGCAGGACGAGCGCGGGTTTAAAGGGTGTCACAGCGGAAGGGACGTTGTGCAACCCAGCTTCCCACGCCAGCACAGCTCCCAGTTCCCAGAAAGCTACTCGGGGTATTCCCAAGGGCTGTATGTCCTAGTGCTGGGTTTTGCCTGATGGAAGAAGGAATTGCCCACAGGAAGTGCAGTGGGAAAAAGGGGATGGGGAAGTTGTGCACCCCTGTATTCATGGTTCTGCTATTTTGAGCACCACCACTCATTCTGCTGTGCTAGCAGCCGTGGGAAGGTTTGCCCAGGGCACTGGAACACCCACAGCAAGGGCTTTGTGCCCTGCTGAACTTCCTGCATGTGCAGTGAGACCCTCCAGAGTCAGCCCCGCTCCTCTCCCCATCCCTGAGCCCCAGGAGCCCCCAGCACCAAAGGAGGTGGGGTGTGGGCACCAGTGCTGGAAACAGGCTTGACCTCTGCTGGTAGTGCAGGAAGTTTTGCAGATGGCTTCGTCAGAGGGCCAGGCTGATTTTGGGAAGCTCTGGGGTGCATGTGACGCTATTGCACAACTTCAGAGAAGTGAGTGGCAGCTTCTGCTTACCTAGAGCCCCAGCATCACACAGGTTTGCTGAGAATATCCCCTGCAAATCTCCCACCTCACCATGGCTGATGAGGGGAGCCAGGAACGGTGGCTCCAAGGGCCATCAGCACCTGGAAAGGGACACACGAAGGGTGGGAGAGCAGACTTGTGAGCAGCCCTGGGGGATACATTTCCCAGACCCTTTTTAGAAAGTTTTATTTTTCAAAATATACAGTTTATTTACAATTGTAGTGTCTACAGTTTTACATATAAATTTATTTCAAACCTTTAAATATCTGCAGTAAACATTAGGGAAAAAGTAATAAAAAATAAAATCACAGGATCAGCAAAAAAGGCATCTCATAGTAATTGTTTTCATTGGAGTTCGAGTTTCAAGTAGCCAACGTCTATGAAAACCATGAACTTGATACATCTGGCAGAGAGATATGGGTGCACGGTTAGAAAAAGGCACAATCCAGAGCTGTGGGACCCATCCCAAAGGGCTGCAGGCCAAGAAAACCCTGTGCTGAGATCGGGCCGGGAGAAGGACCTAGGACAGGGAATCCCCTCGGCATGAGTTAGGCAATAGGGGTAACTGCAGCATGTTGGGTGCCAGGGGAGAGGCACCCCAGGAGAGACAGGGGCTCTGGCAAGGTGCCAGGGCAGAGGAGGGAGGGTGGCATCAGGCACTTCATCTTTCAGGCAGCAGATCTGCCCGTGCATCCATAGCCTGGAGCGGGAGGGCAGGAGGTGGGGGCAGGAGTCCACCAGGGAACCCCACAGCCTCCTCCTCCCCTTTCCTCACCATCCTCAGCCCCCCATCCCCTTGCCAGTGGCACAGCCCCCAGGAAGGGGGCAGGGCCTCGCTGGGGGCTGGGGAGGGACACCAGCCCCAGTGCAGGGGGTATGGAGCCAGCAGCTGAGCACTGGGCTGGGGCTGTCAGTCCTCTTTCTTGAAGGTCTCCTCAGGGATGAGTGTCCCGAAAGGATAATCCCAGAAGCGTGTGCTGATGCCAAAACCTGTGGGCAGGGAAGAGAGAGTTCAGCCCACGGCACCACCATCATCAAGGTGTTGCAAAAGCTCTGTGTTAATTGGTGAGGGAGGAGTGTCCACATTTTGGGAAGGGAGGAAGGCAAAGTGAAGACAAGGAGGAAGAGCAGAGGGAGCAGGAGCTGGCTGGGCCGTGCCAATAAGCCCCATGGATGATAGCTTATCTGGATGGGGCGTTTTCTCCTAGGAAACTGGGCAAAGGGCAGGTTGAGCAAGCACTGGGCTAGGGAAAGTGTGGGGCGGATCTGGGGAAGCCCAGGGCCTCACCCTACACCAGTCAACGCCTCCAAGCAGGAAGAGATGCTGCCCCAGGCAGGGATAGTCACCCACATCCCAGCACCATGGGGGTTTGGCCTCTGCCCTGGCTTTCCAGGCAGCACTGATGCCCACCAGTGAGATGGGCTGCTGCCTTCACCCCTGCACTGCTCTGGCTCCCCATCCTCAACCTGGGAGCCAGGAAATATTCTCCGTGGGCTACAGCACCTCACGTGCTTCTTCCCCAGCAGTGCAATGCTTGGCTCTCCTCATCCCAAATCCCAAACATTTTGGAGCAATCAGCTGCACAAATGTAGGTAGACTGGATCTTTGCCAGCCCTCGCCCCTGCCAGCACGCACGGGGAACACGGCGCTACCTGATTTTTGGTGTTCAAAGTGGTGCTTGACGTGATAAGCCTTCAGGCCATACAGGTAGGTGCCCTTTTTGGGCGAGCCGTAGTGGAGGTAATAGTGCATCATGTCGTAGATGACGTAGCCGCAGAGCCCCCCGACGAACACCGAGAGCCCCAGCACCTCGGGCAGCAGCAGCCGCAGCACGCCGTAGAAGAAGCCGATCACCAGCGCGGCTGGCACGGGAGGGAAGACCAGGCGGGAGCTGTCGAAGGGAGACTGGAAGCAGAGAGGGACAGTGGGACAGGCAGCTCCTAGCTCACCCTACCTCCCCCCGCACATCCCTGCCAAGCAGCAGGGAAACCATCTGGGAGAAGCCAACTCCAGAAACCCTCCCCAGAGCTGTACCCGCTGCTGAGAGCAGCCCCCCATGCATGCCAAGGTGCCCAAGCAGGCAGTGGCTTTATCTGGCAGGTGCCCAAGCTCCACAGGGACATTTCCTTCAGCAAAGCTAGAGGGAGCCTGTGGCTCTTTTGGCCTTCCCCCATGCCCAACCACACAGCTTGAAGATTTAATTCCAGCTCCTCCAAGGCCGTTTTACAGCCCTTGCTGGTATTGGGTAAGTGCCTCGCTTGGGATGCCACCAGTCACACTGAACAGGCATGAACAGGCTCTGTCTGGGCAAAGGCCACACACTAACAGGGTCCAGCGGGGCAAAGGCCACCATTCCCACGGCCCAGCAGGTGCCGGCGGAGGCGGGAGCTGTGACTCACCTTGTGATGCTGCCCATGCAGCAAGAAATGCAGGGTGATGAGATAGTAATTACTAGCGGGTGGCTTCATGTGGAAGACAAAGCGATGGATGAGGTACTCTAGCAGGGACCACAGGATCATTCCCAGGAGGAAGATGAAGGGGAAGTAGTATTTGTGGACGGGGATGGAGTACTCTACACAACGAGACGTGCAGTGGTCAGCAGGGCAAGCGATGTATGGGTGCTTTTATCCATCACTATCCTCCCACTGGCATCGGAGTGATGCCCAGCTCTCCCTCCCTCCCACCTCCTGTCCTGAGCTTCTCTAGGGAGCTAACTGCCCTAGCTCTGCTCTAAACCACATTTTCCTTTGATTCCTATTAATTTACAGAAACAGCCAGCTTCTTGCTGCCTCAGGAAGACAGTGAGGAGAGCTCCCTGCATTCCAGATTCCAGCAGGGGCTTGGATGTGCACTCTAGGGACTGCGTCACATTACAAAGCTACTTCACCCACCAGAATAAGGCAGGAGGGATCTTAGTTGCACAGGCAGCACTTGTGACAGTAAAACAGTGCTGTTGGTGTTTATTTTTTGGGGAGAAAAAGAACAGACTTGTTGGGCACTTTCCCCCGCAGAACATTTTTCAGCCACCTCCTTCTTTCAGAGCTGGCTGCCAGCCCTGCGTCCTTTCTAGTAAAATTTGGATTCCCCCAAAACTTTCTTATTTTAAGGAAAAAAAAAAATCCCACAAAACTTGGCAGCAAGGTGCTGAATGCCACAAGGAGCAGGGAGTGCCTGTAGCCAGTGCTCCCCACCCCACAGCCGGGCACAGCTGGCACTGGGTGGCACCTTGCAAAAAAAATAGGGAATCCAGCAAAAAAGAAAAAAAAAAAAGACAACAAAGAAGACAGCCTGCCCTGGCCACGCTTGTTATTCCCGGGGGAGCAGGCAGCAGACAGTGGGAGATTCAAGGGCAGGCGCTCCGGGCAAACAAGCCTCGCTCTGTGAGGCGCCGGCGGCGCTGAGAGCCGGGTTTGTTCAGCCACGGCCCGGGGTGGGCGATTGGAACACACCCCAGCGCCCGCAGCACTCGGTTTTGGGGACTGAGGGAACCGAGGCAAGAATGGGCAGACTGCAGCCCAGGTCAGAGGGCTTTGTGCCTGTACTGATCTCCTGGGTAAATCCTGTGGTGAGGTGGGCAAGCACAGGTGGCTTCATGCAGGGGACATGCTGGTGGCCACAAGGGAGAGGTGCTGACGTGCTGCTCTTGCATGTGGCTTGTGGTGAGCACGTACAAGGAGGGATGAGGAAGGGATGCAGGTCTCCACCCACCCAGGGCATTCCTGCCCCTGGGCCCAGAGTGGGGTCAGTAATGGAAGGCCAAAGGCTTTCCTGCTGCTCCTACCTGTGGTGAAGGAGGAGAAGAGCCTGGTGTTGCCCTGAGCAAGGGAGGTGTAGCTGACCCAGCTGAGATAGAGCACCACGGGCGTCCATACCATGAACACCACGTACCTATGGGGTAGAAGGAGATGTCAGAAGTGTCCTGCTGGCTGGTGAGCCATCCCCTGCTCCTGGGGCAGGCACCACCCAGGGCACAGTGCAGACCCTGTGAGCTCACCATGCTGTCTTGGAGAGGAACTCAAGGAAATCCGAGTGGAAGAGGCGGATGGGCCGATCCACAGGCTGGTGCACCCACTCGTCGTACTTCTCCCCTAAGTAGCCCACCTGCCACAGCAAGGGCTTCTGCCAGTCTACCAGGTCCTGAGGGAGTAGACAGTGGTTGCAGTGCTGTGGAACCCACAGACCATCCCAGTACCAGGCACAAAGCTGAGCTGCTGCTGCAGGCTTTTGGGCTGCAAACTCCCTCCCATGCCCCAAGAGCAGTTGCTTCTGGTTCCAAGGTGCCCTGAGCTCCCCACAAGCACCAGCACAGGGCAGACAAAGGGCCAAACACACACATCAGCCCCAGGGCTTAGCTCACCCCTGTGCCACCAGGTACCTGCCAGTGGATCAAGGTGAAGGTGGCTGTACCCAGACCTGGGTCAGCTTTAGGCCCTGATAACTGAGGGTCTTTGCCTCTAGAGCTGCTGAGATTAGATAGTGAGCAGTGATACTGCCCAGCAGAACACTTCTGGTGGCACAGGGATCCCATCCCCATGGCACTGCCACAGCCAAGGACATTTCTCCTAGTGCAAAGGACACATGAGGCAGTCACAGCTGTTTGGGCACCCCAGTGAGGAGCAAAGTGGGAAGAGATGGAGAGCAGGGATACAGGATAGGAACACAGACTCCAGCAGTGTTGCTGTGCATGGCTGAACTCAGGTGAAAGAGTAAGAAGGGACCTGTGTGGGTATGCATGTTGGCATGGCATGAAAATAGGAAGACACAACTGGCAGCACCACCTCTGCCACTGCCCAGCATCCCTGGACACATCTTCTGCTGGCCTGGCCAGATAAGCTGGATTCTTGGTCCCACCCCTATGCCAGGACTGAAACCACATTTGCCTGGCCAAGCCCCGGGCCTGACAGCTCTCCTTGGGCTGCTTGTGCCACACAGCACTGGCACAGCAATCTGGCACCTGGGGTTGTGCTGCCAGTGGTGGGGATGGCTCAGTTCAGGGCACCCCAGGGCAAGGAGCAGGGGTGGCTGTGGGCATTTTGGGGGCTCTGTTGCAGGCAGGGATGAACACAATCACACAGGAGGGGAAACCCCAGCTGGTGCATAGGATGGGAACAGAGCCATTCTCCACTGGGGAGGTAGGGGGAAAGTTAAAGCAAAAAGGTCACTTGGAAATGGTACATTCTCTTTTAAAGGTGCTCAGTGATAAAATATTAATCTGGGGAGGGAAAGATGTTCTCCTGCTCTAAAACCCCCCCAACTTTCTACAAGATAAAAGCATGCTTAGCAACCAGCTGGGACCATGCAAAATGGTGCTATGTAGGGCAGGGTCAGCCAAAGGCACCTTGGGGACAAATCCCCATTGTGGCAGGGCAGGAAGCACCCTGCACACACAGGGATCACCCTGCCCAGGCTGGGGAATCCCTTACTGCTCATTACGACTGCTCAGGCAAGAGGAAAAAAAAATAAAGTCATAAAATAAATAAAACAAGAAAGAAATAAAAGCAAGCAAGGTGTGGCTTGGCAACATTTCCCTCTGGAAGGGCACAGCCTCTGTCAGAGAAAGGCATCTCTCCCATGCTGCTGCAATGGGAGCCTCCCAGCGTGGCCACGCCTGTGCAATAAAGCATGAGCAATGCCATCCACAGCAGGAGAAAGGGCAGAAGTGGCTGGAGCAGTTTGACTCCCTCACGCCATCCCTCCCATTCAACAGGCCAGCAGAAATCCAGCACTCATGCAGGGAAGAGGAGACCTGGTGTTTCCCAGGAGCACTCTGGCAAACCGTGTGCTGGAGAAACTCCATAGCTCTTACCGTCTCCACATCCACTGTTTTGTAGCAGAGATCTGTCTGCTCTGGAGTCTGGGCTGCAGCAACCACCTCCTTCTCATCCACTGTCTCAGAGAGGCTCTGAAAAGAGAAGGAAAACTCTGTGGTGAAGCACCAGTGGTGGATTCAGCTGGGGATGGTGATGGCTGTAGCACTCAGGGGTATGGTCAGAGTGAGCTCCTGCCTGCTAAACAAATATGGGGAAAATTCTGGTGAATTTAAGTCAGTCAGTTCCTGCAGAGCAGGTTTCCTGAGGGAAGCAGCTGCCAGTGAGCTGCCCTGCCCTTCGGACTGAGCATCGTGGGCTCAGGGCTCTTTGGAAACCTCCTGGATCCCAGTGTTTGGAATACCCTGCCCATGGCCAGGACACCATGGGCACTTCAGAGTGGCAATGCACAAACTCTGGCCCCTGGGGCAGCATTTTCTCCTGCAAACAGGCAGTGCCATGGCAGAGGTTACCTTGCCACTACCAGTAAAGCAAGGGGCATTGCTGGGTTAGTGCTCCCTCCGCCCACCCCACTGATCTCCAACAAAAGCCCAGCTTGGCTTTTTGGTCCCTCAGAAAGCTGGGCTGGCAGACCCAGGGAGCTGGTGCCGGTACAGCTGGTGCCACCACCCTGGCTGTGGGCATAAGGGAAAACACAGAAGGAGGGACCTTGTCCAGGGAAAAAGGCAAAGTGCCCTTCACAGGGTGACACTGGGCCGGGTGCCTTTGCCACGGGCTGTGGAATACCAGGTGGAGTTTGGTCGTGGCTCAGGAGAGCACGTTGAGGCACAGGGGATGCACAGGTGCAGTGGTGGCAGGATGAGGACCCAGCTGCAGTCCCACTGGCAGGGCGGGCTGAGAAACAGGAGAAACCTGCCTTGTCTGATGCTTGGAAGCAAACACGTTGCCAGCTGCCAGCACCAGCCTCCTTCCTGCAGCTGTGCCAGCCCCGGCGCCAGCCGTGCCGCTGGTAGGGGGCTCGGTGGGGTTGCAGCCGTGCCCATGCAAACCCCGAGGCAGCCGTGCCCCCCAGCAGTGCTGGCTCCCCGAGCAGGACGTGCCAAACATGCCTTTTCCCCGCTTTGTCACCCTGAGTTACCCATTAACCCGGAGCAGGGTACGGCGTGGCCCGGCAGCCGCGGCACAGCCGTGCCCGACGGGGGCTTCCAGCTGTGGCACTTCCAGAGAGGAAGGATTTTCTCCCAACCCCTCAATGGATGCTCTCCCCACTGCTCCGAGAGGGATGCACTGCCACCCTACTGAGGGGAATACCACCCTGGCAGCTGCAGGAGGGCCTGAGAGGCAGGAAAGCAAGTGTCACCTTGCCAGGACGTCAGGACTTAACTCTGTGCCTTGCTGGGGACACCGAGGCAGGGCTCAGGCACTGTTTACTGACGGCAGGCACTCCTTGCAAGCTGTGCTCCCACCCCATTTCTCGGGCTAGCTGGATTTCAAGCCTCATTCTGCTGGTACAGGAACTGCATTACCCAGCTCTGAGGCAGCCCCTTGCTTAGGGCAGCGGGTAGGGAAGGACAGCAGATATTTCCAGCATTTCCAGGCTGGAATCCTACTGGCATCAATTTTACTGCAGGCAGAGCACCGACATGAGCTGATGCCATGTACCACCACACCTCTCTGTGAGCATTCCCACTGCTATTTTCCATGTTGCACACTCTGTCCTTTGGCCAGACATTCCAAAACCCTAGGGCAGATGAGATGTCTTAAAATCCAGCAAAGCATGGTGGATTTATGGTTTTGCCTCTGCCCTGCAGATGCTTTGGAAAAAAAATTGGCTTTAAGAGAGTGAAATGGCTTATCCATGCCCTGAGAAATGGGCTGGTGCTCTCCACCTTCATGCTTGCACCACAACCTAGCCAGCAGCAGGAAGGATGCTTAAGAAAGCTGGGCTGATGCAATGCCTGGCACCTCTCCGCCCTTTTCCGAAATGTTCACACACCTCCAGTTCCCCTGCCCATGGATGCCTGAGCACCATGTCATGGCTGGAGGCTTCCTGGTCCTCCCAGGTCAGGGAGAGGGACTGGGGGGCTCACATCCCACCTCACCACTAGCACCTGGGCTGGGTGACATCAGTGAGGTGCCATTGTCCTGTGTGCTATGGCAGCTCCCTGTCAGCACCTGAATCCTCCTCTTCCTCAGCTGGGGAGCAGGAGGAAGGCTCTCCTCTTTCTCACCCTGGGGCTGGCACTGAAAGGACCGGGAGCTGTGTCACAACCAGGATGCAAACCACCCTGGCATGTCCCAACTGGCTCCCCAAAGCGTGGCTTGTTCCTGCCTGCCCCAAGCATGCAGGCCCTGCTGAGATCAAGCCCCATGAGACCTGAACCAGTGCTGGGGCTTTTGTCCATTCTCCTCTAAATAGGAGGTGTGTTGGGAGGAGGCTGTGCTGAGCTGGGCTCTGCTGTCACCTGTGCATGGTGAAGATGCATCTGAGCTGTCCCCAGGCAAACAGGTCCTGCCAGGAAAGATGAACAAGGGGCCTGATGTAAGGAAGGGAAAGTTAACGCCTACAAGGCACTGCACCTGTAAGTGAGCAGCAGTCCCAGTAAGGTGCTGCTGGTACACACAGGGCCAAACACCCAGGGCACAATGCAGTGACTGGGTGACCCAGCATCCGCCTACGAGCATCTGGCTGCCCTGCGTGGGTCACACAGGGAGCTCAGCACTGGTCCTGCAGCAGCTGGAGAGCACTGGCTGTGCCAACCCAGTGCTGTCCTGCATCAGGGCTTGGGGCATTAAAAGAACAAAATCCAGCTGTGATGTGAGCTACAGACAGAAGGGGTGGTCCCACATAGGGTTCAGTGTTCTTGGAACACAGGCAGAGAAGCTGGAAACCTCCCCCTGGCTCAGGTAGGGTGATGCTGCCTGCAGACAGCTGCTCTGCCAAAAGCCTGGACCCAGGGGTATTTTCCATCCATTTGCCCAGTGAGTCAAACCCCAGAGGAGTCCTACCATACCTCTGCATTGCTCCACAGCCTCCAGCACCTTCACTGAGCTCCTCAGAGGCTCAATTTGCTGGTGTCCACATGGGACAAGCTCTGTTGGCAGTGCAGGTACAGGCATGTAGCATGAGGACACCCCAGGAGGTGCAGAGAGCCCAAGCAAGGTGCTTGCTTGTGGGGGCACCATCCCAGCAGCACCACCCCAGCAGCACTGTGGTTTGTGTTCTCTGGCTGGCAGAGCCCCACAAGGCTGTGTCTTAGCCCATTAAACCAGGACTATTAAAAGGAGGTGAATTTATCTCCTAATCATAGTAGTAATATAAAAAGTGACTTCTTGTTACATCACCCCCAAAGAGGTGCCCCAGGTGTCCCGCCTACGTCCAAGAGTGTTCAGGCTGGGATGCAAAGCCAGGGCAAGCCTGACGTGCAGCAATACAGGCAAGAGAAAGAGAAGGACACTAAACCTGAGAAGGATGGAGGATTGTGACTCACAGCCACATCATGCACCCCAAAGAGGCTGTGATGAAAGTCCCTCGTTGCTCAAACTGGAAGGGTAATTAGATGATCCAGTTCCCTTCTAGCGAGGCTGTTAAAATCCACTGTCTAGTTTAGGTAATTACTGGTACTCGCTTTGATCGCCCCTATATATCCTGCTTGCATAGATAAAATGTTTAGAGATTAACTTGTCCTTAGCCAAAAAGATTTGGGTGATACAGAAAAGGGACCTGTGGCCAAAGGAGAGAGCCACAGGAAGGGGCATGGAGACGCCAGTGGAATGAAGGCTGGATCTCATCTTCTTTATCTCTCCTGCATTAACACATTTTTTCCCCCTTTCCAAAATCCTGGAAATTCCTGAGGGAAGCAGAGGAGGATGCTGGATGCCTGTGGGACCAGAGCATTCTGAATCCCTGAGCATGGGGATGGTGCAGCCCTGGGAAATCCAATGGGCAAGGAGAGGCCCTGGCAAAGCTGTGGAGACCTGGAATCAAACTGGGGTAATGTAACACTTCCTCCAAAGAGCTGTTTGGGCTACACCTGCCCCAAAGCACCCAAAGCATGAACCCAAGCACTACCAAGGACATCACCTCTCCCCAGAGAGGAATTTTGGGGGGTGGGGAGTAGGGCAGAGCAGCTCACACATCAGTGCATGCTGGACACGGCCTCACCGTCCAGCAGGCAGCTCTAATCCGTCCCCTGTGTGGTTCAGGCTGGGATGGTTTATGTGGCAGCAGGCAGTGTCTGATCTCCCTGCGCCCTGGCGTTATCACGCCATGTATTTGCATTGGGATGGTGGCAGCTCCCCTCGGCACAAGAACCCGTTTGTCCGGTACCTTCCTTCGCCCCAACCCGTTGGGCTCGTCACACCTGCGAGGAGGCGGCGGCTCAGCGAGTGTCCCAACAGAGGAGGTGCCATCGCCGGATCCGGCCGGGGAAAATGCAGGCACTGCACCCAGGCTGAAACAAAGCCCTGTCTGTGGCGCTGGGGCCGAGGCTGCGCCCTGGGGAGGGCACCCAGCGAGAGCAAACAACCAGCCCGAGGGACCGGCCGGTCACTGACCCCGCTGGGATGTCTAGAGAGGAACTGCTGGGCTGGTGAAGGGGGCTGGGCTGGTCCTGCTGCTCAGCATCCTGCCCACGGTCTGCTGGTGAGGGCTGGTGGCTGGGTAGGAGTGCCCAGTGCTACCCTGGAGGCTGCAGAACTTCCCCAGGGAGCTCTCCCTTCCGTCTGGACAGCACGGGACTGGCACAGTGGGGACAGAGCTGTGTGTGTCCCATGATGCACATCAGGCAGTCAGGGAGATGGCTGGGCTCCTCTCCTCAGCAGTGGCTGCTCACCACTGGCAAACCCCAGTGCCCAGCACCTTGGTCCCTGGTTGAGTGCTGACAGTGCCAGGAAGGGTGTCCTGTCCCACTGCACACTCTATGCCATACAGTCCTGCTAAAACTGACACTGAGCTCCATCTCCTGCATTGCTCCAAAGACCCAACATCTCCATGCCACACTGGCACAACAGATCCACCCATCAGCCCTGCTTCCTAGCATGGCCAGGGCGGGATGTGGCCATGGAGTGGGACCCTGTAAGTACCCAGCTCTGTGCACTTGGCACCCTGTGGGCCTCAGGGTCCCCTGCACCTCAGACCCCAGAGAACTCCTGGGAGCCAGGAGGCACATGGGACCTTGGCACCCTGCACACCTCCGGCACCACCCATGCAAGATCCCAGGAGACTCAGATATCCTCTGTCCCCTTCACTCCTCATGCCCTGTAGATCCCAGACACTACAGAGCCTGATTCTATGGGTCCTGTCCTCTCAGACCCAACACACACCATGTCCCATACAGCTCAGACTGAGATTTGGGTGCAGTAAACACCTTAGATGGTACATGCACTCCCTGCCATGTACACCCCAAAGCCTGTCTAGTCTCTGCATGTCCTGAACAGCTTGGATTCTGATAAGCCTGGACCTGGAGTGCCCTACAGACCCTGTATGGCTCAGACTCTGCACAGTTTGGATCCAGGGTGCCCTACAGACTCTGCACATCTTAGACTCCATGCACTCTGGACTTGAGATGCTCTATAAACCCTGCACTACTCAGATCCCAGAGAGCACAGACCTGGGGTACCCCATCAAAACTCGATCCAGGACTTGGGGCACCCTATAATCTCGGTACATCCCAGTCCCAGGACGTGGGGTGCCCTATAGAACCACTGTACATGCTGGCCCTAGGACCTGGGGTGCCTTAGAGAGACCCTGGACCTCCCGGGATCAGGACACTCCGTACACACCCTGCACATCCTGGAGCAGCGCCTGGGGCACCCTACAGCCTCTGTATCTCCAGTTCCGGGACGTGGGGCCCCCCATAGCCCCTGTTCACCCTGGGCACCTGAGGCACTCCGCAGAGCCCGTATACGCCCCCCGGCTCCCCTATAGCCCCCCGGTCCCGGCTGGGCCCGCGGCGGTACCTGCTCGTCGATGTCCCCCACGTAGTACTGCTCCAGCCAGCGGCGGGCGTTCTCCGAGTGCCGGTGGGGCGGCCCGTCCAGCGCCGCGCTCACGTCGGTACCGGCGCGGCGGCGCAGCAGCTGCTCCCCGCCCGGGTGCAGCCGCACGAAGCCGCTCAGGTCGTACAGGCGGCGGCGGCAGGAGACCAGGCAGGCGCCCCGAGCGCAGCGCGCCCGCACCTCGGCGGCGCTGAAGGACCGCGGCCCCGCCGTGGCCATGGCCCCGCCGCCGCTCCCCGTCCCGTCCCGGTGCCGCTCCGCTCCCCGTCCCGTCCCGCCGCCGCGCTCTGCCCGCACCTGCTCATCTGCATACATGAATATGCAGCCAGGCCACGCCCCCGGCCGCGCCCCGCCGCAGCCCATTGGGCAGCCGCGGACGGGTGGGGCGTGGTTGGGGTGCGGAGGCTCCGCCCCTCCGCAGGTACCCTGGAAAGTGGGAATGAGGTATCCCTGGAGAGGCACAACGAGGGTGAAGGGGGACATGGGTATGGTCAGGGTGGGGGAATGGGGGTCTGAGCAACCTTGGATGGGTTATGGGGGGCACCGGGGTACCCTCACAGCCTCATCCCTGCCCCAGGGATGCCCATACTCCAGTTCCACCCCGGGGTACCCTCACAGCCTCATCCCTGCCCCAGGGATGCCCATACTCCAGTTCCGCCCCGGGTACCCGGGGTGGAACTGGAGTATGGGCATCCCTGGGGCAGGGATGAGGCTGCGGTGGAACTGGAGTATGGGCATCCCTGGGGAAGGGATGAGGCTGTGAGGGCATCCTGGGGTGGCAACTGGGGGGTATAGGGTTACCAATTCCCTTCCAAGGTTCTTGGTGGCCAAGGCAGGGGACACCCCAATCCTGGCTCAGAGTGCCCTAGGAGAGCAGGGTCCTTCCTATGCTCACCCAGAGGTCAACTCATCCCAGTGTCACTTGCTGCCAGGCACCACACCCCCTTCCCAGCTGTTTGAAGATATATTTCAGTATTTAAATAAATTTGCAATTAGTCAGGGGGCAGGAGGCAGCCCCAAATACCCCAAAGAATCACAAGCAAATAATTAATAAAGAATGACAAGAAAGGAGTTTCCTGTGCATTTTTTTTGGGAAGATTTCCCTCTGAAGTGAGGGGAGCTGCTTTGGGGTGACACCCTTAACCACAAGGGCTGGCCACGTGCCAGCAAATTTGGCGTTGCCGGCCACACTGGGCTGCAACCAGTGATTAAGGTGGGGTTTGCCATCCCAGGAATGGAGAGCCCCCCCAGCCACACCTGTAAGGGTGGGTCATCACACCACCTAGGCCCCCCGGCTTTGGGGTGCTGTGGGGCGCAGGCCAGGCATTCACTGAGGCCTTTAATCAAGGTGGATGCAAAACCTGCTGTGGCAGTCGGCATTGGCTCCACCTTCCCACCAGCTCCTGGCACGGCCCTGCCACCTGCTCGGGGGAAAAGTCCTTTTTTGGGTGGGCAGATTGGTTTTGCACCCTGATAGGAGCAGAAGGGTTAAGGGTGGGCATGCTCCTGGCTGGGGCTGCTGCAGGGCACCAGGGGTGCATTGGGAGTTCCTTGGGGTGGAGGACAAAAGCATTTTCTGGGGGTTGAGAGGGCCAGAGTAATCCTGAGAAGTTGCTGGGAGACCCCAAACGAGGTGCTGGAGTGGGACACTCTCCAAAGGGGGCTCCCCAATACCCTCAGTGGCCAAGGTGGTCCTAGTTGTGGCAGGTGAGCTCAATCTGGCACAGCTCTCTGGGGCATTAGGGTGGCTTCTGGATGGACATTGAGGATTTTTTGATGAGCATGAGGGCAAAGTGGGGGCGGGGGGCAGATCTGAATGAGCTGGGGCTCTCAACTGGAGACTACTACACCCAATTCCAAATCAGAAACCCCAGACTCCAAGCATGCTCAGGTGCAGTGGCCACTATCCCTCTGTGGGGTGCTGGAGGAGATGGAGGGGACACCTGGCTGTGATCCCATCACCCAGTCCCCACTGGCTGCTCTTGCTTGTGCAGCCCAGCCCTACCATGGGTTTGGGGCCACAGGCTGCCAAGGGCCACCCTCTGTAATCACCACTCATGGCAGAGGCGGGTCCAGCCTTTGCCAGCCCACAAAGCTGCCGGGTGACCTGTGGGTCCCTGCTGCCATCCTCTCCCAAGCACACAGAGAGCTGTGGTCCTCAAATGTGCCACAGCAGGGCTCAGGGATATGAACCAAGCTCTTGTGAGCTGACATTTCATCTGCCCATGTTACCTCCTGGGCGCTGTGGTGGCGCTCTGTCCCCCCATGCAAGGCACAAGGGTGTCCCTGCAGTGGGTGAGCCAGTCCCCAGCTCTGCAGTGAGAATGGGGCAGCAGGGGGACCCTGCCACCTGCAGAGCAGGAATGCACTGGGCACGGGTGGCACTGGGAGAGGGACAGTACTGGGACCAAACTGTACAGCAGACACCAGTGTAACAGGATCAAACTGGCAGCAGAGGGCTGTGCCAATGCCTGTCCTTGCTGGTATTCTCCTCCCTGTCCATGCCAGCTCCAGGACAAGCAGGATCAGGAAGTGTAGTTGGTTTGCTGATCAGCCTGGCTGGAATGAGAGCAGCCAAGTGGCTTTTGCTCATCAGTTCCTAAACTGGTTTCCCCACCAGACGGACAGACAGACGCTGGGGCTGGCACACAGAAGACAGCAGGAATGTGCTGCTGGGCTTGGGGCAGGATTAGGCCCTGCAGTGCTGGAGGGGCTGATGCTGGGATAATGGAGCTGTGGCCGTCACGGAGGAGGAGGCCAATACAGACTCTGCTTGGTATTGCATGCATGGGAAAGGTTTTCCTCTCTGCTAAACACTGTTTGTTTCTCCGCCAAACTTGGTCGTCAGGGATTAAACTTCTTTCTGTGCACATGGAAAGCCTCAGTGGGGATAGGGAAGGCACACCACGCTTGTTACACCCTCAGTAGGAAAACAAATAGGATTTAAAATGTTGACAGTGGCATTTAGGGCACAGCGTGGGTTGTTGTGGGAGCCCTCTCCCGCTTCCAGCCCTGTCCTTGAGAAAGCTAATGGATACACAGGTAACAGCTCCTGGGATGCACTTGGCAGGCAGTTGAAGCAAGTTTTGGCAAGCAGCTGTTCAGGGTCAGACCTAAGGTCTTCCACCCTCGGCATCCTCCTCTGCACCAGCCTGGGAAGGGTGCCAAAGCAGGCGTGGGGTGCGTGGGCATTTCTGCAGAGCACCGCTGGCTGGGCTCTCTGGACAGAGGTGGCCTGAGATGGAGCTCCTCTCCTTGGCAGTGTCCAGTCACTCCTGGAGCCCTGGCAAACCCGTGGCACCGGGGGTGCCCTGAGGGAAGTGGTTTGACACCTCTCCTGCTGTGCGCAAAGAGCGCTCCTGCCTGGTGCAGAGCAGCTGGTTTAATCCAATGCCTCCTTGCTCCTGCTCCAGCAGAAACCATGGATGGGGCATCCTCTGCTCTGCAGCACGACTGGCCACTCTCCTGAGCACTGCATCAGCTGAAGGCTCTATCCAATTCACCTGGTTTCATCATGGCAGCATCCTCAGAGCCGGTCTGGCCTACGCTCACTGCCTGAGCAGTCCCTGCCTCCTCTCCCTTCTCTAAAGCTGAAATTCAGAGTGAGGTGTGGCCTCACTGGGTACCAAGACATTACAGAGAGCGGGTGGGTGCGAGGACAGGCAGTCGGGGGTGGGCAGCACAGAGGAAGGGCTGCTGTGGGGCACCACCACGCTCCATTTCTGACCATTTATCGCTGCCCTGCACAGCAAAGGCAACAACGTTTCTCGCTTCGGGCAGGAATAAGCCGTTCGTGTTTCCTTGCAATAGTCACTTCCGCGCGGAGTGGGGCTGCTCCCAAAGCAGCCACCAGCCACGCTGCAGGGTGAGAGACAAGCTGGCAGCATCCGGGAAATTCCACCTATCTGTGCAGGGCTGCACAAACAGCCACGGCAAGGGCTTTTCCTCTGAAGTGCCGGCTGTGCTCCGCCTCAGGGGCACTCGCATACTACAGAGATGGACCGTAATGGACTGTAATAACACACTAAATACCACGATTTGTCGGTCCGTCACCTTTAAATAACAAATCTCCTTTCCCTTCCAAGCTACAGGAGCACTCAAGCATGGAAATGAAAATACTTGCAGGCTGAATGGCTGTCACGAAGGGAGGCGGGAGCCCTCTCCCTGCAGCTCCCGGCGAGGAGCGCTGTCCCCGCGGCGGCGGCGGCGCCGGCGGGACCCGCAGCACCCGGGGGGAGACGCTGCCCGGGGCCGCCCCGGCCTGCAGCGAGCAGCGAGCAGCATGCAGCGAGCAGCCAGCAGCATGCAGCATGCAGCGAGCAGCTTGCAGCGAGCAGCTTGCAGCGAGCAGCTTGCAGCATGCAGCGAGCAGCCAGCAGCATGCAGCATGCAGCGAGCAGCTTGCAGCGAGCAGCTGGCAGCGAGCAGCTTGCAGCATGCAGCGAGCAGCATGCAGCTTGCAGCGGCCCTGGCTGTGCCGGCAGCTCAGACACCGCTCGGCTGTGCTTTCCCAAGAGGAGCATCACAACCGCGGGCACTTCCCAGTCTGCTCCCAGCACATTGTCCCAGCCAGGACCCAGCAGCGGCTTAGCTCTTGTGGGGCTCTGCTACTACCGAGCCCTCTGCTTTGGGGTGCAGGGAGAGCTGCTGGGGGCGCCCACAGAGAGAACAACACCACATTCTATCAGAACAGCACTTAAAAAAAATAATTTTAATGTTTTAATTGTTTAAGATACATCATCTGTTTATTCCACAGCAGGATCCCACTGCCTGAGCTAGCACAGGGGTTGAGAGCAGGCATGGCACATGGCACCACTCAGCAGGCAAGTGTGGGAGAAGGGATCAGAGCTGGTACAGGTGGGATAGCTCCAGCTGGCTCATCCCTGAGCACACATTTGCCCAAATTCAAAGCTCAGGCTGAAGCCGGCCCTGGAGAGGCACAGGCTGCACGTTCCAGGTGTGCACACACTGCACAGCAGCATCCCTGTGCTGGGAGTGCCTGGCAGGCACAGCCCCAAACAGACAGATCCATCAGTACATTCTCCAGTTGATGCTTCACAGTAAGGAAAGTCATAAACCTTTTGCCTCCATGGATTCCACCATTCTTCCAAACCCCCTTTTTCCCTAGAACCTGCCGCTTCCCTGTTCAAGAGCTTTGTCACTCCAGCAGCAGAAAATCTCAAATTAACCCTAATTTTCCCCATAGAGCTTGGAAACAACAGCCTAAAAGAGCTGTATTGAGTAAGTGTCCCGTGTGTGTTCTCAGTGAGGGAGCAAAGGCTTTCCAAAACACCACATCTTAAAGACAGTGTGGATCCCAAACTCAAAAGGCATATGCATTTCCCAGTGACCAGAAGTGTCACACCAAGACAGGGACAAGTTAAAGTGCATTTTATCACCTGGTCAGAGCAGGAGATGGAGACACCTTAAAGCCTAACAGTAC